ATCACTGTTTGACATTTCCTGACAAAAAACACTATTCACTCACTCACATATTTTTAACTACATAGATTTCTACATCATATCAACTCTCATCATTGCATGTCTTATACCTCTTCACAATCTCAATAATATGTTTTCCTCCGAAGTCCGAACTTTTATCACTTTTTCCATCTCTCTTTCTAGGGAAATATATCCAATCACGGCGTAATTTTATCTCCAACAAACTTAAATTGGGCACAAAACCCTCAATCTCAGTTTGACTCTACCAGATTATAGCTGTATTTATGGGTTGCTTAAACGTATGATTATTTAGCTATGCACAACGCAATGTAAAATTCTGGAACAGATATGGCTAAATGCACCAAGTTAACTAAGATAACAGATATACACGAAATTTTGCCAAAATACCATTATAATATTATGTAAAATTTAAAGTTCACCATATCTTCAAAGGCTTGGTGGGCCTCTCATTAACCCAGTCCCGGTCAAAGAACCATCGTGAAGATCCTATGCATATCTATGAATAAGCATATATCATTGACAACTAATCAGAAATGAAAATCTAAAGCACTATTTAGCTGTAATTGGAAGGCATCTGAATCAATTTAACACACACATATAGATGGAAAGAGAAAGCAAGAGAGACATAACAAGAATGAGTTTGAGAAATTATCAGTAAATCCAAAATATACATAAAGGTTGTCCGCTAGTACACACCTCATATGTCACTGTTCCGCTAGACATTGCTGGCTGGCGAAGTGTCACATTACAGACGGCACCATTAGCAGATAGAATGCAAACCGTGCGTGGTCCTTGCTGCGCGAAAGCCATAATTGTTGATGATATGTCCTACAATACATGAGAACGATAATAAGATTAACTAACATTATCAGCTTTTTTTCCAATGCATAAGTTGATCTACATGCCCTCCTCTCATTTTATTGGAGCTCTAAAAGCTATCTGGGAGCAAAACTCAACAGGCTTGCCTATTTATATGTCAATAGGAACCCTAAAGAAGAGAAACATGTCTGAGTCAATATAGCATCACCAAGAAGTCAAGAACGTAAAAATTCTAGAAAATGTCGATATTCCGGTTTCACAGCTTATAAGAAAATATAACTTCATGAGGAAACTTCTATGTTGCAAGCATCAATGCTTCAACACTAACCAAACTCATCTCTTCCAGCCAGATGTTATCTTAAGAACATAAATAAATACAAGATAAAGAGAGAGAAGTATATATAAGCCTGAAATGACAGACCGTCGTATTAGTAAGATGATGTTAACATTTCTCATTTCTCATAGATTAATATTGATTATTCCTAGATTCTGATCTTATGCGACATTGAGATAGTGACAGAACATCCCTAAAACTGAATGCAGTCCAGCCTAAAAAGAACAATACACAAACTCTCCATCTAAACACCTTGCAGCCTGACAAGTCTAATATTTTCAGAGCTACCTTTCTTTCTAGAGTTACTTTCATATTAATCATTATGTTATGCCACTATTGCCATAGAGGGAATAGGAAGTTTAATATCTAATTTTATAGAAACTTTTCAAACTTAACTTCTATGATAAATCATTGACCAGACATCGAAGCATCCGTTCAATTCCCAACATTGTGGACTAATATAATTCTATGATAATTTCAGCAGAGGTACAGTAATCATCCACCGAATCTAAAGGGTTCGATAATCGTGAGATCGGATAACAGGCTTTGACAAATTGTCAGGATTTTAAAGCTTACAATTGTTCATAAAGAGTACGAGTAAAAGAATGCTTCTTTAAGAAAAATAGACTAGCGAGTTACCTCTCCTGCTTCCACTGTAATTACATGAGGTGTAAAACCAACACCTGGAACCCCTAGCCACCAGAAAATGATCATTTAATAAGCAGCCCATAAGAAAAATAAAATAAAATGATAGAAATGAAGTATATATCTATAGGCAGAGCATTTGATTGAAGAAAACCTAGAGCATCCAACTGCCTCTTCACCGAACCAGGAGGCCTTCCACGGTTGCGTTTGCCTGAGGTGTCAGCCGAAGCCCCCCCGCCGGAATCCAAGTGGCCGCCGGCGGCGGCAGCAGATGGAGAAATCTGGGCGGCAGGAGCGGGTGACAGACCCAGACCGATGCTGTTATCGGGCGAGTACTTCCTGGGCCGGCCCCTTTTCTTTTTGGACGGCTCAATGTTGAACCAGCCGCCGCCGCTGGCGGAGGGGGACCCATCGGAGTACTGATGATCCGTGGGTTTCGGCGCAGGATGGCCGGAGCTGAAAGGGAATCGAGGGTTCTGCTGGTGCATCATGGGTTGGGCGTTCGCGGCAGCGGTTGAGGCGGAATTGTTGTTGCCGGCGGGCAGTGGGTACGGCATGTTGGGCGGATGCAGCTGGGTTTGGGAGTGTGGGCCCATCAGGACGGCGTGGTGTGTGGGCAGCGGCGGTTGAGGGTGGTGGTGCTGGTATAGGTGGTGGTGGTGGTGGTGGTTGGCGTGGGGTGGCGGAGCCGAAGAGTCCTGAGAATCCATGTTGACGGAGAATCTAAAAGGTAGATACTATTGTTTAATGGAAATATGGGAGAAAATTGGGAAATGCAGATTGTTTAATGGAATGAAGAGAAAATGGGGTGGGAGGTTTTAGAATTAGGGTTTTTTATAATTTCTTGTGCAAGCAAGAAAAGTTTTATTTTTATTTTATTTTTGGTATTGGTCCTATATAAAAATTTTACTTTGGAATTAACTGATTTTGAAAAAAAAAAAAAATAATTGAAAATCCTCTGTATATAAAAATATAGAGCTTTTCCGAACTTGTTTGTTAATTTCTGGTGATTGTTAATTTTATTTGTTAATTTTTTTTTATTTACAAGTCACTTTATATTGATTCTTAATAGTCTATATTTATATATTAAGAAATTTTAAAATTAAGGTAAATATCAATGTAACAAGACATTAAACTATATATTAATTATATAAAAGTAAATAATATAAGTGTAATTGTCCATAAAGACATACCCGTTGGCGGAAAGGGGAAACGAAGTCTGGAGTCCGACAATGTATCATTAAAAATATGTACATCATTTGTGTTGTCTTTCCAACCCGCTAAAACGAAAGTGAACTTCAAGTCGAAATCGCAAGCCAACATTACATTTTGCGCTAAATATCTTTTCCTACTTATGTACGACCTTTGCTTTCCTGTCGGGACACACATATAATAGTACCGTCAATTGCGCCGATAAGTCCTAGGATTAGCAGTATACAATTTCAATTTAACAAGTGCTTTCGTTAAAATAAACGCTTTAGTAGAGATTAAAGAAATTACCTTGAAGTAGGTGTATAAACTTCGATTATTTCTTATCCAATGTTTTTCACTGTTGAAGTCTGGGGCACGAATGTAATTGGGTGCCAGATAACAAAGAATATTGGTAACTTTGTGACAATGACGACTAATTGACTCTCGATTTTTTGAATGTTTCGGCTGCACGTCAGTGCCTTGACCTCTTATTGTATATAAAAAATGGCTATACTTTTTTCAATGCCAAATTTTTGTTGTCTTCTTTGTTCGTGGAACCCCACTTTTTCATTTCTTCAAAAAGGATCATGAAAGATTTTGATTAATGCCTATTGTATGTTTAAATCGGCGAGAATCTTCCATACACAATTCATTTAGCCCATCCAATCCCGTGTATGTTGGTTGTCAGTAGGAGCTTCTCTTTAACGGGGGAAATGCGTACGACAAAGTTTCGAAAATGTTCACAAGTTGTTGGAATTGAGTCCCCACTATTAATGATATTTCTAATGTCGCATTATATTCCACCGACTCTAAATTATTATCAATGTCTTATGGAAAATCTTTGAGCTCTTCTTCGTATGTGTCACTATCGTCCACGTAAGACATTATAAATTTTATAAACGTATTGCCAAAACACACATACAAAGTTGTCACGCAGAGTAAATATGGAATTAGCAAATCTAGCAAGCAAAATTTATTTTTAACTCAAACAAAGTGCGGATGAATAAAAAGAAGAAAAAGTGATGTCCAACAACAAATGAAGACCATTAGAATTGTTGTGCATCCCACTTCACTCATCACTCATGCTCTCATCCAACCACATTTGAAGAATAAGCCGACGTTCCCTCCTCATTATTAATCGCTGCAAACAATGCTTGATTAGTGTGATCCCAAAACTTTTTACAGGCAAGTGTGAAAACACTAGCGTCCACATTCGGCATTGCTTGAAGGCGCACATTGCTTGTTGCATTATTGTTGGAGTTGTCGGTTGGTCGTTTCTTTGCTTAAGGGATTGATTCAATTTCGTCCACGAATGCATGGTCGTGTCGAAACTAGACTTTGTCCCTCTCCTTTGCCAAACGGAGCGCTTTTGGCTATCGTGTCGACAGTGTGACATCAGGATCACCATTCGATCTTAATCTTGTTCC